CATCAGTCTCTGTTCCAGAAGAGCTTACACTCTAATGTCCCCTGCCCCACAGTCACATCAGTCTCTGTACCAGAGGAGCTTACACTCTAATTTCCTCCTATAGTCCACTATGAACAGCCAGGGTATCATGTGATCTTTATGACCAATCAAAGGAATCACATGATGACAATGTAAAAAAATTGTAATGAATGGATTTCCATTCTTGAACAGCTTGCTTACTGTTGTGATATGTGATTGGCCCACAGCAATAACATGATACCTGGCTACCTGTACCACATGATTAGCTGTAGCCAATCACAGATCACAACTATTAGGCAGGCTGATCATAAAATGTTAACCCATTCATGAGAGCTAAAACTATTGTTTATACAGCACTGTTTCGTGCTAAGCTTCAATGTGCTGTGAGTAGTGTCTTGGTGAAATCTAGAGCCTGTGTGTTACGGAACCAGACCCCGACTGCACTTGGGTATTTCCGTTAGACCCCCATTTCCCTGTCCGAACACAGATCCACGGACACCACCACTGGCCATACAAGACAAAACAGCACCAGACTCGTCTTAAAACAGGAAGTGGACTGCTTTATTTTAACATAGATACAAGATATATACACAGGGCGGGGAAATACACCCAGTAACAGGAAACACATCAGCAGGACGTCCCATCAGGGGGAAGGGCTGCCAGAAACACCCCTCACCAAGCCAGTACAAACACATATATCCCTTAATCCTTTGCTCCCAAGCAAGACACACAATAGAACAATGGGATACACCACCTGGCAGTAGACAATACATGAACACATATATCCCATAATGGTTTGTTCCCAAGCAGGACACTCAATAGAACAATGGGACCACGTGGCAGTAAACAATGAACAACCCCCACCCCCCACCTATACATGTCTACACAATATCAGGACAGATCACCCTGTACCCCTAACAGGCACAGGGTGACTTACAGATAATAGGAATATGGAGAGCTGAGACAGGGGTCTCCCCACCTCTCCAAAGGGGGCTGTGTTCCATCGGCCCCCCACCCAAAGTGACTACCGTCACACTGTGAATTCAGCTAGGTGCAGGCCCAGACTGGGGCATTTTAGACGGAGCAGCCAGACCAGGGGGTAGGGGGGATTGGGCATTCGCGGGGGTGGTCCTCCGCTCTGTAATGTAATAGGGCGCTGTGCTATAAAGGGGACAGCAGGGCAGAGGCAGGATGCAGCTCCTGTGTCTTCTCGAGGGTCTGCTTCCCCGCTGATGATATCATCCTATCAGCAGGGCAGGGGGGTGGGAAGAGCTGCAGATCTAGATCATATTAACAAGCGGGTGATTACCTGCTTGTAATGTAAAGAGACTCCAGCTCTCCGCGCAGATCTCCAGTTCCTTCCACCCCCTGCTCTGCTGATAGGATGACATGGCGAGGAAACAGGCATGGCCGCATAGTGGGAGGCGAGCAGTGACTGTGGTCACCACTTACGTCCCGCTGTGTGGCCTGATCATCAACAGGCCAAAGACTGGGCAGCCCTGCTGTATAGCCAGTCTGGGCCTGGCTGGGTGTGTCAGAGTGGTTGATATATTCAAACAAACTAAAGCTCATAAAACAAACACAAAACTAATGACAGTCAAGTCTGTGTGTCAATAGTAGGATGTCTATGCAAACAAAAAATTTCTCTGTGAATTAAAATTAAAGTGATCTTCATATGGTGTAAAAAAATGTCCTCCAAGTGAAAAAACAAACCCAACGCATTGCATTCTCCCACATCAGTGCCCAAATCAAAGGCTTACCGGAACGGTATGACCCTCACAATGAGAAGTGCTTGAAAGTGACCAGCTCAGGTCCTGGATATATGATGTCACCACCTCACTCCACCATATAAATACGTAGACAGCCACTCGGGGAGGGGGGGGGGATGTGCATAAAAAAAATGGAAACGCTTCACATAGTACAGGGGTTGGCAAACTTTTTGACTTGAGGGCCGCAATGGGTTCATATATTGGACCCGGGGGCCGGACCAAGAGTAGATGAATGATGTGTATGTGTCATCCATAGTAAGTATAGTAATATTCCCCCATAGTAAGCATAGTAATTAATCCCCCATATAGTAATTCATCCCCCATAGTAATTCATCCCCCAGTAATTCATCCCCCATAGTAATTCATCCCCATATAGTAATTCATCCCCCATAGTAATTCATCCCCCATATAGTAATTCATCCCCCATATAGTAATTCATCCCCCATATAGTAATTCATCCCCCATAGTAATTCATCCCCCATATAGTAATTCATCCCCCCTATAGTAATTCATCCCCCATATAGTAATCATCCCCCCTATAGTAATTCATCCCCCATATAGTAATTCATCCCATAGTAATTCATCCCCCATATAGTAATTCATCCCCCATAGTAATTCATCCCCCATAGTAATTCATCCCCCATATAGTAATTCATCCCCCATATAGTAATTCATCCCCCCTATAGTAATTCATCCCCCATATAGTAATTCATCCCCCATAGTAATTCATCCCCCATAGTAAATTCATCCCCCATAGTAATTCATCCCCCATATAGTAATTCATCCCCCATATAGTAATTCATCCCCCATATTAAGTCCCCAAGTCCCCCCTGTGTCAATTCACTTACCTTTGCTCTGCGCGTTCCTCTCGCCGTGTTCCCGCGCCGTTCCGGTGTAGCATGAAAATCTGTCTCCTATGAGGATCTGTCCCCCTCGACGTATCTGCGCATGTGCCAGTTTCAGGCATTAGCAGCCGATCGGCGATCTCCGGCACATGCGCAGATACGTCGAGGGGGACAGATCCTCATAGGAGACAGATTTTCATGCTACACCGGTCTTCAGGGCGGACTGTGAGAGGAGTCTAGCTCCGCTGGCCGGATTAAAAGGTCCGCCGGGCCGTATACGGCCCGCGGGGCCGTAGTTTGCCCATTGCTGACATAGTATAATATCAATGATGACCAATATTTATTAAAAACATTGCTACTCACATATATAAAAATATGGATAGCGCCGTACAAGTCAAACTCTACCCCCAGGTTCACACGTAAGCATTTTCTGCAGAGTTTTGCAGAAACACAGTACAGTCCATTTAACATAATTTCCTACGGGACATGTTCACATACAGAGTTTTCAGCTGGCGTGGTTTTTGGAAAGGGTCAGGGACTTTTTTTGAACGCAAAAAATTGTGTTTTTTGGTTCTATAGACTTCAATGGAAAGGCTGCAGAAAAAAGCATGTAATGAGTTTTTGTCGCGTTTTCGATACATCTGTGATGTGTTTTGCTTTTTAAAGTTTGCCTAGCAACAAGCAAAATTTAAAAAAATGCAAAAATCATCCAAAATGCAGGCGCAAGAATGCAAAATGCAATGCAACACACAATGCAAAAAGGCTCAAATGCAACCTGTGTAGCTGTTAACCCGAGCCTACAAAGAAATGCACAAATGGCTTCCATATTTTGTGATGACGTCATGGGCGTGGGCTCTGCTTTACATGTTATGGCAAAAATTACATCTTCTGAAGCTTCTCATTCATTGGGGACCCCCAGGTCATCAGAACTAGTGTCCCTATTGCAAAAGTTCCCCTCTATTACTTTTCTTGGAACAGCCCAAATTTTTTTTTTTTTATATATATATACTTTCCCCTTCAATGATAATGGTAGATAGGACAAACAGAGGGGATGAATCTCCCTAACAGGGCACAGACAGCAGTAAAAACTGACAGATGTTCTAATCCCTCTCCAATCCATCCAAAACTAAAAGAAAAGAGGTATTTAAACAGCCATGGCCAGTATCCTTTTGGCTAAGATCAAGTGTAGTATCTGTTCTTATCAGTGTCCAGTGGGGGTGCTCCACGGTCATTCTAGCTTTGCGGGGATGACTGTTGTATAGTACCCTCACTGGTATGATGGGGGTCCGGAAGGCTAGTACCGGAGGGACAGAAACCAGGGAGCGCCATGATTCGTGCTGGGGCCTTGGGAGTAATTCCTCTGGGAAGACTGGAAAGACCCAGTACCTCCTGATTTGGACGGATCTACCTTGGTCTGGCCAGGGGCTGGGGATGCAAAAAGTCCACAAACTCAGTGCCCCCTGGGGAAGACGCTCTCAGGGGTGTCACTAGTAACACTTGGGTGTGGGACCCCACGGTGTGAAGATGACACATGGTCACTGTTTTTCACCTCTTTTTGCACAGCGCCCTAAGGACCAGGTCTTTTGGCTAAGTCCAGGGCAATTTTTGCTACGGGCCTCAGGGCCTGGTCTGTGCACAATTTGGCACTGTACCACTTTTTTATTTTCTATTTATTTAATTTATTCACCTCCCACGTTTGTCACTTTTTCTGTTCTTATGTGTGTGTTTTCACGGATGGAGGGTGTGGGTCCTCGGGCCTACCCTGAAGTCTAGGGGGAGGATGTGTGGCCTTTTGGTTCCTTCCTCCCCTGATCCCTAGGGGTTTTTCTCTTCGGGAGAACCCCCTGACCTAGTACTGGATGTCCGGCTTCGGCTGGGCATAAGGAACGGTGGTCCACCAGGCCTTTTGGCCAGGAGGACCAAATGGGAACCTTGTCCCTGTCAGCAGCTTCGTGCCCCGGGGATCAGGGTAACGGTTCAACCCCTCCGGGGGTAGGACAAACACACCCCTAAGTGCACTTTTTCGTGTGGTGTTCGCACTTGCACATTTTTTGTGATCACTTACGGGTTTTTCGTTGTAGTTTGCACGTTTGCGGACTTAAAAAAAAAAAACATGGCCAGTATCCGAGAAAACCCAGCGGCCCCTTTGGGGGTGGTGCTACTTTACTTATGTGACGTCCTCCTTGTTGATTGTCTTGTCCATCCTTCATTTGCTGTAACTAATTAGTTCTTCAATACAAAGTCCCGTCCACCGCCCAGTTTGCAGGAATCTTCAGGTACTTTATGACATTTCATCTTCTATGAACATTTCCAGCTCTCTATGAATTTCTCTGCTTTACATTGGGATAATATTTGTTTTATTTCTGCCAGGAGCGCCATGTCTCAGGAAGGTGCTGCTCATTTGTACAAGTTAGAAGAAGATATTACATGTTCCATATGTTTTGAAGAGCTTTCGGATCCGGTCTCCATCACCTGTGGTCATACCTTCTGTAGAGGCTGTATAACCAAATATTGGAACAGCCCGAAGCTCCAAGAATACCGCTGCCCAGAATGCAGGAAAGTCTGCCCCAAAGACCAGCTCATACCCAATTACAGGCTGAAGAACATGGTGAACAAGGTCCAAATGGCCACCAAGGAAGAAAAAAAAAAAAACAGGTGAGAGATTGGAGCATTCTACTATATAGGGTGTGGGTATACCAGAGAGGAAATGTTCCTATCAGGACAGGAGGTGTTAGGCTGGCCATACATTATACAATTTTCTTGAGAAATTTGCTTTAGATTTACCATAAACCATATAATAGGAGGTCAAACCTAAACAACACTTTCAATTGTATCCAATTAGATGGGCCCATGCACTATATACCGTAGTTGAAGGAGAATCTAGAGGAAATTGGGCAGAAATTGGACAGAAATTTGGAAGAAAATTGTATAGTATGGCCAGCCTAAGTTGTTATCTTTATCCTTGTTTGACTGCTGAGTAGCATAAATGTTCCAAATCCCATAACAACTGTCACCCTCAAACAGAATCAAATTCAATTGAATATGGGAAGAACCTAGATTTATTATAGTAGTATTAAACCCAAAAACAAAAATGTAATATATTGCAGTTTACCAATCCTTGGATGTGGTGGCTGCACTAGTTTTCTTTTCTTTTTTTTGGCCAGATGATCCTGCCAATATGTCTGTTATTTTTCACCTTTTTGTAACAGACCAAGCTGTCCAACAAAAGTTGCAATTACAGGTGAAACTCGAAAAATTAGAATATCGTGCAAAAGTTCATTTATTTCAGTAATGCAACTTAAAGGGTGAATCAATGTGACAAACTCCTGCGCTCCTACCTAAAAACTAATACCTACCAACAAAGGTAAAGTTGCTACTTACAGTCATATACCCATTGTGGGAGCTTGCTTCAAGTGGTAGAGCTCTTCTCGTTAAAGCACACAGCAACTCGCTTCTTTAAGGGCCTTTTTGCCCAATTTTATTTAAAAGAAAGTTCACATAACACAAAATGCTTCCCACACAGGGGTATCCACCATCAAACAAATTCAGCCTTCTGGCTCTTTCAGCTACACAGCTCACTGTCTGTCTCCTGCAGACTCTTCCCAAATTATGACCACTAGCACACAGCTAGTCTGGCTTCCACCTGCCTCCAAGGCAGAGACCTCCCGTCTGCCAGGCTGGAGCCCTCCTGACTCCGTTTGCCGGGGGTGGAGCCCAGAATCATGGCCTGGCCTCCCCTAAAAGGCCTGCACACACCTGTGCAATCAGCACGCTGGCTGCTCCCCAAAATATGGGCCCAGGATTGGAGATTTCATCCCTCCCAAATCTCTAAGAAATCTCCAGGCTACAGGTCCCAAAACCGGCTTTACAAACCAAAGAGGAAACTGATAAACCAGTTTCCTCTGCATTATGAGATCTGCCTGGAGCCCCTCAACCTGCATGGTTGAGAATCCTGGGTCTCCATCGTGCTTTCCACCGTGGCAGGATACCGCACTGCCACACCATAGACAAAAAATATATAAATGAAACACAAATGATGCAGCGCTACTACCATACAAATTCTTCACACATAAATGAATAAGTGAAACAGTGCAAAATTAGTGACACAAATAACATAAACACACAATATTAAATAGTGCCAAAAAACTCATAAATAATCACGTATGACAAGTGTGAATACGAGGTCCTAAAAGGACCAAATAACACAAATGGTGCCCCAAGTAATCCAATGGGATCCAAATCAAACAAGTAAGTCACAACAGGACTCAATGTGCTAGAAAACCTCCCACCGGAACTAAAAAATAGTTCCCACCATATAACACAAAACACACGTGCATCCCAATAAACGCATAACCTAAGAACTGATCATGCAAACAAACATGAATAAATGAATAAATATATAAAGTTGTGTTTTACACCTCACGGGACTTTATATATTTATTCATTTATTCATGTTGGAACAGGAAGGGACCATCCCCTAACTCTTCCCACAAAGTTGGGAGCATGGAACTGTACAAAATATCTTGGTATGGTGACACCTTAAGAGTTCCCTTCACTGGAACTAGAAGGCCAAGCCCAACCCCTGAATAACAACCCCACACCATAATCCCCCCTCCACCAAACTTTACACTTGGCACAATGCAATCAGGCAAATACCGTTCTCCTGGCAACCGCCAAACCCAGACATGTCCATCAGCTTTCCAGATACAGAGAAACATGACTGGTCACTCCAGAGAACACGTTTCCACTGCACTAGAGTCCACTGCACTAGAGTCCACTGTTGTTGGGCTCATCTGAAGGCCACATCAAGTTTGGAGGTTTTTAGCTATTGACTCTGCAGACAGTTGGCGACTTCTGTGCGCTTCAGCATGCGCTGACCCCCGCCCTGTCATGTGACGTGGCCTACCACTTGGTGGCTGAGTGGCTGTTGTTCCCAGTTGCTTCCACTTTGTTATAATCCCACTAACAGTTGAGCGTGGAATATTTAGTAGCCAGGAAATGTCACGGATGGACTTATTGCCCAGGTGGCCACCTATCACGGGACCACGCTTGGAGTCACTGAGCTCATGAGAGCGACCCATTCTTTCACCAATGTTTGTAGAAGCAGTCTGCATGCCTAGGGGCTTGATTGTATACAATGTGTGCTAACTAAACCCCTGTTTTTTAAACACATGTTCTTAGACGGGTTAATTTGGTTTTTGATAGTTGGCTAACTGGCTGGCAGTTTGAACTGGCTTTCTTATCCCCCTCTTTTGATAAGTTATACTTATCCATGTTCCTGGCCGACAATAGCCATTATTAGACTGGGGTAGTCTGGCAAGTTGAACTGGATAGTCCTATTTTTTACTTTGTGCCGCCTTCCATGTTCACTGTTTAAAAAGCCAGTTATAGACCTGGGTAGGTGACCAGTTTTTTCTTTGTCAGTTTTTTCTTTGCTTGATTGTATACACCTGTGGCCATTGAGGTGATTGGATCACCTGAATCACATGATTGGGAGGGCGGGCCCAATACTTTTGGCAATATAGTGTAGCTGCACTGCTCACAAATGCACGTCTGAACAAGAATATGTTCACTCCCCAAGATGAAGCTGATTTGCAACAGGGAGAGATATCTGCCAGACCCACAGTTAAGCCTTCCTTGAAACTTAAAAGAGAAGAATGGGATTTTTTTAAATTTCCACATTATACTTACCTAGGTGGATGCAGCATCAGTTCCCCGCTGGCTCTCAGGGCGGGAACTCAGAGATCACAGGACCGCTGATTGCTGAGTTCTTGCTGCCACTGTCAGTCACCACTGGCTGCTTTGCCCCCTCCCCCCACGCTCACTGGAGTGCTGAGCTGTGGAGGAAGCGGCTTACTCAGGCTCTCAGCGGATCACCCACAACCCTGGATTGGCTCCTGGCTCAGCCTTTCAGCGATCTACCAAGAGCCTGAGCCAGCTCCTCCCATCCCCTCTACAGCCCCATGCTCCAGCGAGTACTGGGGGAGGCAGAACAGAGAGCTGGAGACTGATAGTCACGGCTCTCTGCCCAGAGCAGAGAAGAAAACTGAGCGATCAGCAGCGTATGATCGCTCAGTTCTCACTGCAAAGTCAGTGGGGGACAGATGCAGCATTGGATCTATGCTGCATCCACATAGTATAATTTTTTGTTTTTTTAGAAGTTCATATTTCTCTTTTAATGCATTTAGGTAAAAAAACATATGTGTGCAATTCCACCCTCAGTCCCCCTTACATTTACCTGAGCCCCATCTCAATCCATGTGCGCATAAGAGCAGCGACTCGCCTGGGTCTCTCTCTCCTCATTTGGCTCAGACAGCAGTTTATTTTTTTTAATTCTCTTTGCATATGATTGGGTAGGCTTTGCAAATTGAACGTGAATTTTGTCTTGCTTAATTTACTAAGGCAAGTGTCCAATTCTCTCATCAGGTTTCTCTTCCAAATGAAAACGCGAAAAAAACATGAAAATCATTGAAAAAGAATTTGAAACATTCCTGGAGCAGCAGGTAAAAAAACAGAACGCTCATTGAGGAAAGAACAAAGAGGGGGCGCAGGGGCCTAGTACATTACCATAAAAAATGTTAATAAGAAATAAAGTAGGTGTTGTACTCAGAAACGACAGTAAAGTCACGGCACGTCATAAAGGAACAGCTGGGTCAGCACCGCGCTACATGACTATCACAAAAGGGAGTGTAGACATCCAATAGCTGACGCGTTTCGAGGACTTGCCTCTTCCTCAGAGCCAACTGACCAAATGTCTGCTCCCTCTTTTATATGTTCACTACTAGTAGAACCAAAGGTCACATGGGCCGTCCTGGACACTCCCCTAAGCAGGTTGAGGAGTCACAGGGGCTAATGACATAGTATAAGTAAACAAAGAAATCTATAAAAATATATATATATATATATATATATATATATATAAAATAAAATCACTGAAACTAGTGACAATCATAAAATTATAAGAACCATAAGAAGTGTGCAAATAAAAAAGAAAAAATATCTATCTATCTATCTATCTATTTATCTATCTATCTATCTATCTATCTATCTATCTATCTATCTATCTATCTATCTATCTATCTATCTATCTATCTATCTATCTATCTATCTATCTATCTATCTATCTATCTATCTATCTATCTATCTATCTATCTATTATCTATCTATCTATCATCTATCTATCTATTATCTATCTATCTATCTATCTATCTATCTATCTATCTATCTATCTATCTATCTATTATCTATCTATTATCTATCTATCTAATCTATCTATCTATCTATCTATCTATCTATCTATCTATCTATCTATCACATGGCAGGGACAATAGGCAACCACATGGCAGGGACAAAGGACAACACACCAATACACAATACTCGGACATTCACACCCTGTACCCCTAAACAGGTACAGGGTGGGTTAAACATAATGGGGGGAACATGACCTGACACAGAGGTCCCCCCACCCCCAAAAGTCACTTCCATCACATATCTCCCCTTTCGGCAGGAGACTAACACAGGAGTAGATCCCAGACGGATGTACTCTGAAGTTAGTCTGTACTTCCAGTCCCTCAATGCCAGCACCCACACAGTACCCCATGCAAATTGTCCCACACCAAGCATTACTCACCCAGCCAACCTCTGCCTCTCCCGTAGAACATACCCGCCGCTGGGGAGAAGTACGTACTGGTCCTTCTCCCTGAAGTCCTCTCAGCCGCTGGAGAGAAGACAGGGTGGCTGGGTTGACTCCATCATTCTATGGGGGATCTGGGCCGACTGCCCAGCATCCCTGGGGTATCCAGGTGGTGGCTGTAGTCTCATCCACAGACATCAGCTCAAGCTGCTGTTGTGAGGTGTTACTTGCATCCTCTTGCTGTAGCTCCTGCGGTGCTGGTTGTTGTGGGCAGAGGTCGTCAATGCCATGCCCTGGTGCCAGCTCTTCTGCTGGAGATGTGGCGTCTGGTTCCTCCTCAGCAGAAAAGTCAATCAAATCCCCAGCCTCTGGAACTGGTGTTTGGGGATCGGGGCTCACCATCTCCTGTCCGTGGAACTCAGGAGAAGTTACCATTGCTGGGCAGAGTTCAGTAATGTTTGGCCCTGTTGCCAGGTCTACTGCTGGTTCCTCCTCAGCAGAGAAGTCTATCAGATCCCCAGTCTCTGGAATTTCCACTGCTGATTCTTGGGCATGCTGCCAAACATGTCCTAGCAGTTGCCTGTATGCCCTTCCTAGATCCAGTTCTTTCTTCAGCAGGTATTCCAGATCTGGTTCAAGCACTGAGACCCCTGTGAGACTGAACATAGCCTCTCTGCCTTCTCGCAACTCCTCCAGAGTAGGTTCTCCTTCATCGCCAAACACAAAAAGATCTGTAAGGCTCTCCCACAGCAATCCAGGCCCTCCAAAGTCAAGTCCCTCAGGAGAGCACTCTGTTGACAACCCTAAATATTCCTGCTCTGCGTACCACCGCAGAGCCCAATTTCTATTGTCCAGTTGTATCTCCTGCTGGATCAGCCTGTCCAACTCAGTCACCCATTGCTCCTGAGGTTGCTCTCCCAGGAGTGGCATCCGTAACTTCCAATGGTCCCTGGCCCATTCCCCTAGGGTTGGATAGCACTTGCCTTTATCCATACCAGCAGCCTGGACCGCTCCTCTCCAAAGCACCTCTCAAATCCGCTGCCTGAGCTCCAGGTACTGATCCGTAGACACAGTCCTGGGGTATGTTGCAAGAACAGTCTGCAGCAGCCCTGGGAACTCTGATGCCAGGTCCATAGCTCTACTGGGGTGACTGACGTCTTTTCCTGCTCTTGAATCCCGGTGGTGGTTTGGATGTGTTTACAGCTTGGAAGCACAATCCCACCGCTTGCCACCAATGTAACGGAACCGGAACCCAACCACTCTTGGGTATATTCCATTATGGTATATTATTAGGTGACAGGACTGCTCATCCAATGACAGGAGAAGCGCTTGAGAGGCGGGAACACATGAGGGAACAGCTGTGCACTGAGGTACCCGGGCCATGAGGGATATGCTGACCAGATCTGACCAGACCAGGATGATGACACAGGAGGTCTAGTGATATTTTCACACAAATGCGCATAAAGATTGCGTATCTGGTGAGTGCGCAGTCTTTATATTTTATCACCTGACGGTCCTGTACATTGGACGTCTGAAGATCACCCTGGATCTTAAGAGCACCCCTTCATTGGACTGTTTTTCACTCTCTTCACCTAGAGCCACCACATAGTGGCATTACTAACTTACAGTCACTGTTTACTATTGTGTAATTATTCATTATTTGTTTAGTTATACAGCGCTGCACCTCCCTTTTCACATATATTCCATTATACCGCAGCTTCCCCTGTCCAAACACCATCCACGGACCACACCCTTGAAATCCCTCAGGAAATAGACAGCACCCAGCTCTTCTTAAAACAGGAAGCCAACTCTCTTTATTTTTTCACAAAAACAACATGTTTTATACACAGGGCGAGGAAACACAACCAGGGACAGGAAACACATCATCAGCCCGCCCCATCAGTTGGAAGGTCTACAGTATAGGCAGGAAACACCTCATCACCCCTCCCCATCCAACCAAGACACAGAACAATGGGATAGCACATAGCAAGGACAATAGACAGCCACATGGCCGAGACAAAGGAATAACCACATGGCAGTACAATAGGCAACCACATGGCAGGGACAAAGGACAACACACCAATACACAATACTCGGACATTCACACCCTGTACCCCTAAACAGGTACAGGGTGGGTTAAACATAATGGGGGCAACATGAGCTGACACACAGGTCCCCCCAGCCCCAAAAGTCACTCCCGTCACACCAACTATCCTGGGTGAGTTTATATTTCCATATGGAAAGGTTTATATTCTGGCAGCACATTATCTAGGAGAATTTATTTATTATACACACAAATATTATAGGTCTATGAAGTGTCTTTCTCCTAGGAGATCTAATGTTCCCTATTACCGTTCTGGGCCTTGTAATGTACATTATATTGACAAAAGCATTGGGCCAGAGTTCCAAATCATGTGATTCAGGTGTTCCAATCACCTCCATAGTCACAGGTGTATATAATCAAGCCCCTAGGCATGCAGACTGCTTCTACTATAATTTGTGAAAGAATGGGTCTCTCTCATGAGCTCAGGGAAGATACCGTGATATAGGTGGCCACCTGTACAATAAGTCCATCCTGACATTTCCTGGCTACTAAATATTCCACGCTCAACTGTTAGTGGGATTATAACAAAGTGGATGCAACTGGGAACAACACCAACTTAGCTACCAAGTGGTAGGCCACGTCACATGACAGAGCAGGGTCAGTGCACAGAAGTCGCCAACTGTCTGCAGAGTCAATAGCTAAAGACCTCCAAACTTCATGTGGCCTTCAGATTAGCACAACGACAGTGTGTAGAGAGCTTCATGGAATGGGTTTCCATGGCCGAGCAGCTGCATCCAAGCCTTCCATCACCAAGTGCAATGCAAAGTGTCAGATGCCATGGTGTAAAGCACACCGCCACCACTGGACTCTAGAGCAGTGGAGACGCGTTCTCTGGAGTGACCAATCACACTTCTCTGTCTGGCAATCCGATGGACCTGCCTTGTGCCAAGTGTAAAGTTTTGTGGAGGTGGATTTGGTTTGGCCTCTTATTTCCAGTGAAAGGAAATCTTAAGTCGTCAGCATACCAAGACATTTTGGACAATTTCATGCTCCCAACTTTGTGAGAAGAGTTTGGGGATGGCTCCTTCCTGTTCCAACAAGACTGCGCACCAGTGTACAAAGCAAGGTCCATAAAGACATGGATGAGTGAGTTTGGGGTGGAGGAACTTGACTGGTCTGCACAGAGTCCTGACCTCAACCCGATAAAAAACCTTTGGGATGAATTAGAGTGGAGACTGCGAGCCAGGCCTCCTCCCCTGACATCAGTACCTGACCTCACAAATGTGGTTCTGGAAGAATGGTCAAACTTTCCCATAGACACACTTTTAAACCTTGTGGACAGACAGAGATGGTTGTGCATGAAAATCCCAGTAGATCAGCAGTTTTTGAAATACTCAGACCAGCCCATCTAGCACCAACAACCATGCCACGTTCAAAGTCACTTTAATCCCTTTTCTTTCCCATTCTGATGCACGGCTTGAATTTCAACAAAATAAAGAATAATATAAAATGGAATAAAATGCAACTGACACAAATGTGGGGTGGAGATAGGCAGCTATGAGAATATCATGCATGGAAGTGAACATAAGGTGAATAATGTCCTTGTAAACATAGGTGAATAGTGTCTTCAGTGGATCACATAAACTGCATGCAGGTGTGAGCCACAATGTGCCAATCCTCTAAGGCTGGGGTGCCCCCTCACCTTCCTGCTCAGGCCCCCAGGGACCAAAGAGCTTAGAATGATATCTGTAATGATCCTCCAGATAGCCGG